CACCTTCCCACTCCTCTTCTCAGAAAACCCTAATTCTTCTTCTCCTTCTCCCCTTTCACTGTTCACGCCGTTTCCACGAACTCTCTCTCTCGTTTCCTCCTCTCAATCTCCTCCCTTCTCAACCTTTCTCAGCTTCACCCTCCTTCAACTCTCGTTCTTCATTTCCTTGTTCAAATCAAAAGACCCTTCCGAACCTTATAACACCAACGAAATAACAACGATACCATAATTGATATAAAACTGGACATGCAAACGAATCCACGGCTTGAAGATCGAAGGTTCATAGATCCGTTGTTCTCGAAGGTGAATACGGTTAACAGTAGATCTGGACGATGTTGATGGTGGTGAATCTTGTTGGTAGATTTCGTTGACGTTGCTTGAAGAAGTTCTTATCTGGAATGTTTCTGGACATTTGATGAACTCACGAAGATGAAGGTTCTTGACCTGGAGAACTGATGTGCTGACGAGGATCTTGAGAGTTTCTGGTGATGTATGAAGATCTCTGGGAAAAGTTCGAAGATCGAGGATGATGATGATGTGTTGATGACCTGGAGAACTGAAGTGGTTTGAAGAAATCTTGAAGGTTCTGGGAACATCACGAAAGATCTGGAAATTTGACGACGAATGTTCTTGGAAGATTTTCGAACGATCTTGATGAACTTTGACAGGGATTGCTTGTGATCTCTGAGGATCTTGATGAAGATCTGGAAACTATTGAGTTTCTGAGGAAGAACGCGATGAACAACAGCTGGAGATCGATGAATTCTTATGAGATCTGGAAGATCTTGAGTCTGGAAATCTGGATGAACACTTGAAGGTTTGAAGATTCATGAACGAATCTTGGAAGATTTGATGAACCTGGGCGTAGAATCGTGATGAACAGTCACCAAGGTTGAAGATCTTGAGAAAACTGCTTGAATATGATGATAGTTGGATGAAGATCGGTCGGAGTTGATGAGTTTTCTGGAAATTATTCTTGAAGCTGGTGAATTTCTGGTGGATTGATGATGTTGACCGGAGGAGGAAGATGAAGATCAATGAATGTTGGATGAATTTGGACCGGAGAAGATGAATTTCTGGAAAAGGAGATGAATTTCTGGGATTTTAGGATTTTCCGGCGGGTTGTTACGGCGGCCGGAGGGAGTTAGGGTGATCGGAGGTGGGAAGTTAGGGTGGCCGGAAGGGTTCAGATGCGGTGGTTGCATGGCCGCCGGCCATGCAACCGGCGAAGCTCAGAGGAAGACAAGTGGCAATGGTGAGCGCTGCATGCTTGCCACGTGGGGGGGAAGAGGAGAGATGGAGGACGCGTGTGTGGATTCTGAGTGTAGTGGAAAATGAGGTGGCTAGCCTGAAGCTTGAACGCGTGTCCTCCCTTATATAAGACACCTGGCACTGCAATCTGGACAAAAAAAAGGCTGAAATGGACTGATAGATTCTGGGCCTCCAAAAACTATACTGGGCCCAACGAAAATGATATGCAATAAACCCAAACATTCTGAATTAAAAAAAAAAAGATTAAACCTAATTAAACTAATTAAAAACTAAACCTAATTAACTAATTAATACTCAACTAATTAATTCTAAAACTACAATTAAATGCTAACTGAAAATTAAACTAATCTAATCCTAATTAAATCTAACAAACTCTAATTAAAAGATTAAAATCCTAATTAAATCTAAAAGATGATTAAAATCTAATTAAACCTATATTAAACTAAAACTAATAAAACTCTAATAATTTTTATTTAACAATCTATTAAGGGTCTGTTTGGTTCAAATGAGGGGGAGGGGAGGGGAGGGATTTTAATGAAGGGGAGGGAAGGGGAGGGGAGGTGAAGGAATTTTTTAATCAAATAAGTGTTTGGTTCAAGAGAGAGGAGGGGAGGGGAGGGGAGAGATTTTAATTAAAAATGTGTTTGGTTTAGAAGGGGAGGGGAGGGGTTTTATTAATAATTTACATTTTTATCCTTATGATCTTATATAAGTCATATGATATTAAAATGTGAAAAATTCGTGCGTATTTTTGTTGGTAATAAAATTTCTAATATTGAGTGATTAAAAAAATATTTATTTGTCACTAAAGTTAAAAAATTGAGTGCAATCGATTCGACTTATAACTTTCCAACATAAATTAAACTATATGCCAATAACATCGTTTAAATTGTGATGAATCATATAACAAAACAAATATATAATATAACTTATTACTAAATATTAATGGTTCAAAATATTTAATAAAATGAATAAACAAAAATAAATAAAATGATATGGTTTACAATTTGATATAAAAAGAAAATATGATAGAGTACATAACAAAATTAAAAAAAAAAACGAATATAACGAAACATAATTTTTTTTATAAAAAAAAGACAATGATTATGATTTATATTAATTATAAAAATTATAAAATAATTTGAAGGTGAAGAACAATTATAATAAATTGATGAAAACAATCGAGAAAAAACAGTAACATAAAAGATAACAAATAGTTTTGAAATAATAAAATTAAATTGAGGATATTTTAGTAAATATAATAATTTTTAAATATCAAAACTAATATTCCCTCCCCTCCCCTCCAAATCCCCCCAATTCGGAGGGAACCAAAAAATGTGTTTTGGAGGGATTTTGTTCTCCTCCCCTCCCCTCCCCTCCTAAAATTTGAACCAAACATATTTAATTAAAAATTTCCCCTCCCCTCCCCTCCCCTCCCCTCCCCTCCATCTACCCCGAACCAAACACACCCTAAAACTCTACTAATTCTAATAAAATCTATATTATTTATTTAAAACTATTAAAAAAGCTATTAACCTATTAAAAACTCTATAAAATTCTAAAAAATGATTTAAAGCTATTAAAAATATTAAAAAATCTATTTAAATTCTGAAAAATCTAAAAAGCCTATTTAAAATCCACAAAAGGCTATTAAATCCTAAAAAAATGCAGACAAATGCAAATAACCACTAAAAAAATAGCACGAGACCAGATCGAAGCAAACGGTAACCCGGACACCAAAAATCTCAAAAATCACTGCATAAACTGAAAACACCCAGGAAGCGCGCGACTTCTCAAAATAACCTCCGATTATCCGAACCGGTCTGAAATACCCGAAAAGCGAAAACATGGCTGTAATCCCGATAAAATCACCATGATTGAGGAAATGCGCTATATGCAGTATGCAAATGCGAATGCAAAAATGCGTCGAAGCATAAACCCGAAAGTGGCACCGGTTGGTCAAATTTTAGGGTGCAACACTATGCTTTTAGGATGTAATGAATTGTCCTTTCCTCCTCCAAGGAAGAAGTATTTGTAGGGGCTTTTTAGACACATTGTTCTCTTGGAAAATGTCACCGTCCACTTAATCAATGGTGGATCGTTGAATCTGTATTTTCAAAGAGGCCATAAGTTAGTTAAGGATGTTAACTTCTCTTTACCCCAGAAATGTCTTTTCTCACGCTTCCCACGACTAGGTGATAGGAAGACCTTGGGAGTGAGGCGACATGCCCTCTTAGACGACATGTTATCATCATCTCTCCTTAGGCGTCTTCTAGACCTTGCCTTAGGAGACTAATAGAAATACAACACTACAACATTGAAAATGTTAAATAAATAAGTACAAAAGACTAACATCTATTAAACCAATTATATTTGACTTAAAATCCAATCAGTTCAATCTCGTCTTAATATGAGTCAACTAGATTATACTATAATCAAATTGAATAAACCTACACAAACTAGTCAATTTATTATTCATATCGATTTCTAAATAACAATAATAATAAAAGTCATACTTACTCGTGTATTAGAATACAACTTAATATTCTCATACTTACGAGTGACATTAAAGTTTCAACCCATCAAACATATTTGTTTTTTTCTCACGTGTTTTAGGCCGATTCAAGATTTTAGCCACATACTTTTCTATTATATTCGTCCATTTTCTTTTACAGATTATTACACTAACATAAATTTTCCATCTTTTAAATTTTAAAAGTTCAGTCTCTGTCATACACTCAAACCCTTATTTTATTTTTTGCAACACAACAAAATTTTAAGTTGTACTATCCCATTCCATGCTTGCTCCATCTTTTTTACGAAACTTAGTTTGCCAATAATGATAATAATGATTCAAAATAAAAGTTACTAATAATGGAAAAATAATAAATGAGAAATGAATGAACCAATAGGAAGTGGACCAATAGTTAGGTGAGCAAAATTGGACCGTTGAGAGGGTGTGCATGATGGCAGTGCCTAGAGTAATGGGAGGAGTCCTTTCGGTGTCTTCATAGATGCAATGCAATGCAATGCAACCCTTTTTTGTTAGTAGTAAAAAGAACACCCAATAAATTCAAGTTAATAAATACAGATCCAGACACTGCTGTTATGCTAGTACAAAACAAAACAATGGTAAAAGAAAAGAACTCACACACTAGTACCATACTCCAACGGCTAGGAGAGCAGATCAATGTCTTCTTCCTTCACATGCACCTCCATTTCCAACAAAATAATTACACTACTTCTGTAAGACAAAGATTCTGTCAATAAATGAGTATAAATATTATTTTAATGTTTTTTCAATTAAATATTTTCACAAGATTTAAAAAATGAAAAAGTAGAAAAAAATTTGTGTTGTCCCAAATTTTAGTTTCTTGGGACTTCAGCTACCTCTCTACTAGGCCTATTAACATGTTCGGTTACATTGAAGAAACTCCAATCCCTTCATTCAAACAAACATGGACAGTTTCTCAATTCTTAGCCGTTTGATTTATCTGACAAACTTTCCACGTGTGACTATTGTCTTCACCTTATAACCCCTTCTCTCTCTCATTAATATTCTTCTACAGCTTTACCCCACTTTCCTCTCTTTTCATTTTTTCACTTCCTTTGCTTCTTAATATCTCTCTCTCTCTCTCTCTCTCTCTCTCTCTCTCTCTCTCTCTCTCTCTCTCTCTCTCATTATTGAGTTCTTTTTCAGGTAGATTGAATTGATTTTGAATCTATCTATGGCTTTGCGTTTTCTTCTTCTGCTTTTTGCTCTTTCTCTTGTTGCTGCTGATGATGGTTAGTCTATACTCTTACTCTTCTTTCCTCTTATGCTTTCTTTGTTTTCAAGTGATGCTTTGTTTTTTTTTTCTTTCACTTTTTGAATATATGCTTGCTTGTGTTTTGAATCTTCATTGCTTTTTAGTTCTACATTGTTCAAGAAAATCCAAGTAGCATAAACTTGCTTTAGGGTTTGAATGTTGTTTGAGATTTGAATAGTGTTTGTTGTTCAAGTGTTCAAACCTAAGGTGTCAACTTTGAAGAACATGCTTTTATATTTCTTAATATGTTGTTTATTTGTTTGTTTTTAAACTTTTGGTTAATATTTGTAATGTGTGTAAAATAAATTTAAAATAGTATCTAGGTTTTTTTGAGGTCGCCATTGTTGTAAATGCTTACAAATTTGAGTTGCTGTGATGACTTGAAATCTTATTGTTGATGGATCTGCAGAACCTTTTGTTGGAGTGAATATAGGAACTGACCTTTCAGATATGCCACACCCTACTCAAGTAGTCGCGCTACTCAAAGCACAACAAATTCGGCACGTTCGATTGTATGATGCTGACCAAGCTATGCTCATTGCACTTGCTAAAACAGGCATTCAAGTTGTCATAACTGTCCCTAATGAAGAACTCTTGGCAATTGGTCAATCGAATGCTTCGGCTGCCAATTGGGTTTCTCGTAATGTGGTAGCACATTATCCGGCTACAAATATTACCGCCATTTGTGTTGGTTCTGAGGTTTTGACTGCCCTGCCTAATGTGGCGAAAGTTCTTGTCAATGCAATTAAGTACATTCATTCAGCCCTCGTTGCGTCGAATCTTGATCGCCAAGTTAAAGTCTCGACGCCACTTTCCTCGTCCATCATCCTTGATTCATTTCCACCTTCACAGGCTTTCTTTAACCGATCGCTGAATTCAGTTTTAGTCCCGATACTTGATTTTTTGCAGTCCACCGACTCTTATCTTATGCTCAACATTTACCCTTACTACGATTACATGCAATCAAATGGTGTGATCCCGTTAGATTATGCACTCTTCAAGCCTCTGCCTCCAAACAAAGAAGCCGTTGATTCTAATACTCTTCTACATTACTCCAATGTCTTTGATGCCATGGTTGACGCAGCATACTTTGCAATGGCTTTTCTAAACTACACCAACATTCCCGTAGTGGTAACAGAATCAGGGTGGCCTTCAAAAGGAGGATCGAACGAGCCCGACGCAACAATAGACAATGCCAATAATTACAACAGCAATTTGATCAAGCATGTATTTAACAAAACCGGAACTCCAAAACATCCGGGAGTTGCTGTTAGTACTTACATCTACGAACTATACAACGAGGATACAAAATCTGGGCCATTGTCGGAGAAAAACTGGGGATTATTTGATTCAAACGGTGTGCCAATTTACATTTTACACTTGACTGGATCAGGAGCAGTGTTGGCGAATGATACAAGTAATCAAACTTTCTGTGTTGCAAAAGACGGAGCCGATCCAAAGATGATACAGGCTGCATTAGATTGGGCGTGTGGACCTGGAAAAGTTGAATGCTCTCTGTTGCTGCAAGGACAACCATGCTATGAACCTGACAATGTGATAGCACATGCTAATTATGCTTTTGACAGTTACTATAATAAAATGGGAAAAACTCCGGATTCATGCGACTTCAAGGGAGTTGCTACAATCACCACCTCAGATCCAAGTAAGATACTATCTCATGATACGACTGGTTTGAATTGTACTAGCATTAGCATTTTCTTTTGAAGTTCTATTGATGACTTATAGGATAAGTAATTAACAGCTTCTTGAATGATTGCAGGTCATGGCTCTTGTGTATATCCTGGAAGGTAAATAAATTTTGCTTCTTTGATTCATTTTCACTATCCTATCCAATGTTCATGGTAGTAAAAATCTGAACCAAACTGTTAATGATTTGGCTCGAATCAAAGTGTTATCATGGTTTGTTGCTGCTTAAGTTCTATGCATTATTACTGATATGTGTTTGGGTTGTGAATATGTGCAGTCTTGGCAACAAAAATAGCACCTTTGGCAACTTCACAGCACCATCAATGAATTCAAGTTCAGATTCTTCAGCCTATAGCATCCATGGCTTTGAATTGAGAATTAGAAGCCTTGTAATGGTGACAGGATTTCTAGTACTGGGAGTGGTTTTGCTGTAGTTGGGATATATTTGATGAACAAATTTTAGTCATTCAAAAATTTTGTGGTGGTGATAATGCTACAAATTTGTATTGGCGGCGGTGGTAGTAGTAGCGGCATTGTGATGTTCATTCATTCAATTTTGTACAAAATCCAGCCAAGGGTTTGAACTGAATGAGAGACTGCAGCAAAATCATCATTATCATTCTTTAGTGTTAGAATTGATTCAATCCTTATCAATCATTAATTCCCCTTTCATTTATAGTTTGTTCAACTTATATGAATTTGTGAGATGAAAATGGAACTATAATATAAATTGCTCAAAAGCATGCCAAAGATTCACTTGAAAGGTGAAATTCTGCTACTAAATTAAGTTCAGAACAACTTAACCAATTTAGTTAGTTAGATACTTGTATATAACATAACTAACTCAACTTCAACTTCGGAATTACCTATAACACATGCAACTCACCAAAAGCTCTAATCTTAATTATATTTCCACATTTCCTTCTAATTGAAAATCTCTGCAGTTATTATATTGAGCATGCCTATCATCTCCTCTTTGAAAATTTCAATCTTGAGTACCTTGGTTAGGATATCTACAACTTTATCATTTATCCTGCAATATGTCAAAAATGATCTTGCCTTTGCTAAACTTGATCTATAAAGAAGTGAAACTTACTTTCGATGAGTTTACTTCTTCCATGAGCTATAAGATTATTTGTTGATTTCTTCTTTGCATATCTTCATTTTAATCAACAAAGATTGCATTCACACTTCTTGACAAGCTATTGCTAACAAAGATATATTCAACTTCATAAGATCACATTTCCACCACAATTGGCATCTTGGAGCACTATGAAATTGGATAATTGAGCACTCTATTGGTATATTTGAAAATGGTCCACCCACAAGTGGCGAGGAAGAGACATGAGACTCAACATCTCGCCCATGGCTCCTTCGTGGTCGTCCGCTGTTGGGGTTGATTGAAAATATACATGTTGAATAAGTTTCGTATCATTTAATTTTGTAAAGGAAGAGGAAGTCTAAGGCTATATAAAAAAATTCAAGTTCTTTATTATAAAATGCATCAGTCAAAGTACTTTAAGTTTGTATTTGACTTTTTTTGTTCACCTAAACTTTTGGTTAGAGTGTTGTGAGATGTAGTTAAATATTTACTTTGAAGGGTGTGGATGTACTAGGGTAGGGGTGAGAATAGGCTGAGGCGAGTTAGGCTTTGTCAAGCTCAGTCGACCTGCTAAAACATTTAAAGTCTAAGTCTGACGAGTAGCATATCATAGGTCTATTTTTAGACATAAGTCTCACCTTTTTGAAAGTCTGAATGATCTATTATCCTATTTAAAATTCTATTTCATTAGAACATTTTTAAATAAGCAATTAAACTAATGTTTAAATAGAATAAAAAATTAAAAATTAATGAGACTAAATATTTGTTTTCATTGAATTATTTAAATTTACATAGTAACATAAATTATGTTATACTATTTGTTTGAAAACAACCTATTACATTATTCATAATTTTTTCCCATCTTATTTTCTTATTTTCAAATGTTATTTAAGATAACTTATGATTTATTTTTGTATTTTAATTTAAAGTATAAAATACAATATAATAATTAAAAAAGTTGTTCATATTTATTTAACAGACCGACCTTAAATTTAAAAGGTTTTTTATGACATGTGGTCTAACCTTTTTAGGTAAATAGACTTATAAAATGGCTAGACGTTTTCTATTTTAAAAAAGATTATGCCTTGTCTTGAGTCTATGTAGATTAGGCCGTAGACCCCTATTATTTGACGTGGCCTATTCCCACCTCTAATTGGGGGTGGATGATGATAAATTATGTGTTGTAACAATTTTTACATTGTATAATTCACTGGTTGTCATTTGACAATGACCGTGGTTTTTTCTCTAGTTTTGCAGTTTCCACATTATGTCCTTGAGTTGTTATTGTGTTATTTTATTTTTCCCATCCTGGTTTTTCCCAACACCTGCTCCCTGGTTCAAGCACCGGTTTTTTGGACGGGACACACTTTCCTAAGATATGCCTCCCATTCCTCCATGATTCACTCAAAACACGTGATTATGGGGATGATGTGTTTGTAGTTCGCAACAATGAAGAGGAAATCATGGAAACCAATCATAATCCCCTTAATAACACAGATTATCTATCTGTTCCCTTGTTTTTTAGGAGCGGTTCCTACTCTTAGGGGGAATATGATCCATACCCAATACGACTATAAATATCTCAATCTTAGAGCTGAGATGGACATTTTCATTTTGACACAAAAAATAACATATACAAAGGTTCTCACCCCCTACTTGAACTAACTCTCAACCCTACAACAAACCCTAAAGCCTATGACATCTCTTAACTATGGGTTGTCATGAATTGTATCTTTAGCAAGTATAAATACATACCCCACTGTGTTTCTTTTTTCAACTTTGTCTCCATACCAATTTGAGTCACAAAATCCAAACAACTTATCCATTTGAGCATGAGGTTTTTTAAATAAGTTGACATGACCAATTGTGTCTTTAAGATATCTCATGACCCTCTTGGCCACTTGCGTGTGTGACAGTTTAAACTCTTGCATAAATGTTCTTACCACACTTCCACTATGACATACACCAGTTCTAAAATTGCAAGCATACCTCAAGTATTCCACATTTTGCTTGTAAATCATTTTATCAATTGTCTTTCCAACTTCATCCTTTTTAACTTTGAATTTTCTTCCATATAAGTACATGTTGAGTGAAAATATGTCGTGTATAACCTATTCATGATATCAATGATGTACTTTCTTTGGTGGATTACCAAGTCTTTTATGGTTGCAAAAAATTCAGGGCCAATAAACCATATTAGGCCTTCTAAGTCATTCATACCAAATTCAATGCTTGTAGTGATATATTTGTGAGAGTTCCAAATAAGAGTGAAACAAGGGTCGCCGCCTTGTGAAGAATCACTAGGGTGCTACATCTACGTGGCATGAGAAGGCTCTCCCTCAGGATAAATGTGCACAATACCTTTATCATAATACTAGTCATATAAATTGAGTCATGCCATGACTTCCTAATAAATGAGTAACCAATAGTCTTCTCCATCTAATGAGGAGACATATGGCATGAAGGTGATGACTCATCCCAAATTAAGAGGACTCACCTCCATTTAAAGGAGTCTCCTTCAGTCGAGGGACTCACATCCCGTTAAAAGGGCCACCTTTATAAGAAGGACTCGCCTTCTGTTGTAAAGGTCACCTTTAGGGGAGGGACTCGCCTCCCTTTAAAAAGATCTCCCTCAGTCGAGGGATTTGCCTTGTGTTAAAAAGTTCGCCTTCAGTTTAGGGACTCGCTCCTAGATAATGGACTCGCATCCCATTAAAAAGGTTGCCTTCAACTAAAGGAATCACACTTAGCTAATGGAATCACCCCCTAATCAACGAATCTGCCTTCAGCTAAGAACTCGCCCTTGGTCACGAGGAAAAAACTCAAAGGAAGCATTAAAAACTTCGCCCTCGTGGTTGAGGGATTTTGTAGTGATATATTTGTGAGAGTCCCAAATAAAGGCGATATAAGGGTCCCTGACTCACGAAGCGTCGCTTGGGCGCTACCTCTACATGGAATAAGGGGGATCACCCTCAAGATAGACATGTACAACACTGTTATCCTGATACTATTCACATAAGTTGAGTTATAATATGACTCCTTAAAAAATAGGTAGTCAACAGTCTCCCCAAGTTAAGGGGAGTAACTACCACTTCTTAGGGTTTCCTAAACCCTAGGACCAAGAGCACATATAAATACCTTACCCTTTGGAGATAAAACATATATCATTGTACATTGATCATAATGCTTATATACAAAGCCTCTTACCTCGCGTGATTTTACCCTATCTTACCACCATATATATCACCAAACAGGGTTTCTCATCACTGTGAGCAAGCCCTAACCACCATTAATTAATAAGGCTTCTGAGTATCCTCTACCCGCATATGGATGACGCACACACCTATAATTTTTGACAAGTATAATGTCATGTTGGGTTTTGTAAAGGGTAATTCTAAAGGAGAAACTATTTAGGAAAAACCAATCAAGATTATTAAATTGGCCACACCTGGAATAAATACATTTAAGTGGAAGACAAGTGCAACTAGTAAAAAAAAGGGTGAAATTATGGTAGAGAGAATGGAATTAAACAATGCGAACATAATTATTAAGGCCCATTTTCAAAGGCCAAATGATTAGAAGGTTGAAGATGGGGAGAGAGAAAGGAATTTGTAACATGTTTTGAGTCATCAACTAGTTATAAGGTGTGTAGAAAGTAGTGATTATGGGGGTGACACTCTTGGGCTCTCACTATATGGGCCAAATGAAGGTTCCAACTTTGAATACTCATAGACCTCTAGATTTTATGTTTACATCCTCTATTGCTAATACTAACTCTAGTTTAGCTAGTAAGGATGAGGAGATAAACCGTGAGAATGGAAGATTTATGGTTGCACCCAAACGAGGACCAAATATATCCATTGAAGCAGATATGAAGGAGTGCCTAAGACACCTAAGGACAACCAATAATTGGTTGGAGTTATGATTTTTCTTATTTTTACAAGGTTTACTTATGACAAAGGTCTAACCAGCAAAACTTTTATCCGATACTATGAGCAATATTTGATAATGCACAAACCGGTTTTGCTTGTCATTGTTGAGATTCAATGTGATCCTAGCAAGTTGTTTCGTACTTTCCAACTATTAGTTTATGATGTATTTTTTAATGAAATAATCATGTTTATGTATGAAATATTTTGGATGCTTGAATTAATGATCAAATTATTGTTGATATTTGTAATAAGAAACCCCAGATTATTTCATTTGTGTGCACTATTAACAAGGTAGATATTGGTTTTTTAATGCAATTTATGTCATTCATAATGAGGAGAATAAAAAAGTTTTACATGATGATATGCTAGCTCTCGCGGCGGGAAAAATCATTGAGATTAA